TATATATATATATATATATGCACTTAGGGATTTGGGGTATAGCTCAATGGAACAGTGCTTGCTCAGGGGTTAATCAAAGAAGGAGGAGAGGAAGGGAGGACTATTGTATATTTTCTGATCATTTCTTAGCTTTGCAAAAAATGTAGTGCTTCTGTAAAGCATCTTTGTAATTAAAATCCATGCATAAATAGTACTTTATTGGTCATTTCCATTTGGGGAAAAAGTGACAAGTTACTGCCTTATCTAGATCATAGTGTGGTGAGAATTAGACAGTTTGAGATCTGGTGCAAATTTTTGTAAGAATTGAGCTTGAAAGCTTGTTTGCAGTATTTCCATATTTTTTTACATATCTGTTTAGTGGGTTATTTAGAGAGGACTAGGTTGTCTGCCTACAACAGAGTCAATGCAATTTGTCAGTTAGGGATTTGTATATTCTTTGGAAAAGTTTAATTATTACCTGATCTGTGGGAGAAGAAATCATTTAATGACTGAAGGAAATTAGAGATTCTTAGCTGATGTGGTGGTGGCGGCCTACCTCTGTCATAACAGCAGGGAGACGCAGCAGGATGACCAGGTCATCCTTACCATATTCAAGGCCATCTTGGGCTACCTGAACTCCTGTCTGAAAGACAAAGCAAAACAAAACAAAAGCCAATTTAGAAGAGAAAAGAGAAGGAGGGGCTGGAGAGATGGCTCAATGGCTGTGATCATGGGCGGCTCTTGCAGATGATGGTGGTGCTGTTGGCTCCTAGCTCCCACGTGCACCTAGCTTCCAACCAGCACCAATCATGTACTCAACACACTCATACACATAAAATAAAAATAAAATTTAAAAAAATCTCTGAGAAGGAGGTCAGGTGTACCAGTCAGATCTCTGAGTTCAAGGCCAGCCTGCTCTACATAGTTCTAGGCCAATCAGGGTTACAAAATGAGACTAAGAAATTACAGTTACTAAAAGTTATGGTTACAGTATAAAGAAGAAAATACTTTAACATTCTAGTGCTTTACCAATGATTGTTACTTTTATTTTAATGATTTGGAGGAGGAGAAATTCCATTTCCTTTACATTAAAGCCTAGAGTTAAAGAAAATTAACTTATGCCTTTGGAGTGTATCTAAATAGGGCCTTCACATTAACTATGTGACTGCACTGAACCAAATTTTAAGTGTATCTCTTCTATAGAAATATAGAAACGACAACTCTTAAGTCTTTCTGACTGCCTTGATTACTATTTTTCATCTAAAATTCATCATCTTTCAGGACTCATTTGGAGCTATGAAAAAAACTATTTTTTTCTACATGGGCAATTTACTTTTAGCCCAGTGGAATTCTATATTCATTTCTACAGTGTTTGCCCAAAACACATTCTGTCTAATACATACTTAACATATCCCAGAGGCAGCTTTTTATTTGCAATTAAGTTCATCTTTTGAGAGTTAAAAAGCTAAAGGGTTTCTTTGGGTGAATTATTTTTATGAGGCAGGCTCTCATGTAGCCCAGGCTGCCCTTGAAACTATGAAGCAGAGATACTGCTGCCTGTTTCCTAAGTGTCAGAGTTCACTTTCATGTCTTAGAATCCAAAGAGACTAAATGGTCATAAATCTGACCAACACTTTTGAAAAATTTTCACTTAATATAGTCAGTAGCCTGTAAACAAAAAGAGAAATCTGAAACTCAGATAATATTCTTAAATATTAAAGATAAACATGAGGAGACTCGAGCAGCAGCTAGCTAAATACATAGAAGACTCATAAGTTATAGAGGGCATGAGGATTTTCTGCTCACAGACAAATACTAGGGGAACCAGGAATGTTAAACATGCAGGATTGTTCTCTCAAAGATTATGTATGTGTATATGTATATATGTATGTATGTATATATTATATACATATATATAACATGTATATATTATATAACCTATTTTCTGTCCAGAAGGCTGGGAATGGATGTGGTTAATAGCCTGGCAATCTTTACACTAACTGTATGACTAAGGCCACATCTGGCTCCCCTAGATTCTTACAGTCAGAACTGAAGGTAGCTAATAGCCTCTGTAGAATGTGTGTCTTAAAATTTTGAAACTGTGTGCCCTTCCTGTTGGTATCAGGTTCCGAACCCAGTGACATCACATTAGGCAACCCCCACATCGTTGCCAAGGCAACCATCATCCATTCCCAGAATCTACCTGGCTACCTTCCACCCTTACTTGCAAGAGGCTACGTCATCATCCATATAAATAGGCAGAATCTTCTGACCTTTCTTCTTCCCCTTCTTCTTCCCTGCCCCCACTTTTGCTATATCTCCTGAACAAACCCCACTTGGAACCAGATGGTCTGTTCTAAGCTACGCACAAATGAATATCATTGGTGTGTTGGCCAGAACCAAAGACTTTGGGAACCACCGCTGCAGCTGCTGGCTGCTGTGACCCTGCAAGACCGATGCCACGCAGACTGCTGCCCACCACCACTGCACCACATTAGCCGCTACTACCTGCCGTCACCGACCAGTGCCACAGACCAACTCCACCTGCCACTGCAAGGCTCACAGAACTTCTACCACTTGAGCTGTGCCACTGCGGCCCACCACGTGGAGCTAGCCTCTGCCACATGGGCTAGGCAGCCTACACACAGACCTCACAGTTCTACAGACACCGAAAACACACACCAGCATACTGATTGGTAAGGAGCTTTCAACTGGCGGGAGGGAGCCTAAATGCCCAGATAGCACTGGCCAGCCTTTCCTGGGCTGAGGGGTGAGCGTTTCAGATTCCCGAAAATTCTTCAACTGACCTTCTAGGATTGGCTGTGGACAACTGATGGGACTGAGCTCTCTTGATCTGACCATGCCTATTACTAGCAGGGAGCCCTGGGTAGCTATCATGGTATGTGGATGATCTAATAGCACTTACCCGTGCCTTCCAGCTGTCACAGGGACAATCCCTTAACATCTCTACAGATTCCAAATATGCTTTCCATATCTTCCTGTCCCACACTTCTATCTGGAAGGAACACGGGTTACTTACCACAAAAGGAGGATCAGTAACTAATGTAAACCAAATTATGGCTTGCTAAAGGCCTCCCATCTCCCCACAGCTACTGAGATTGTCCACTGCAGATCCCACCAGATGGATGACTCTATTGCTTCCAAGGGAAACAATTGAGCCAATGAGGCAGCTAGAGCTGCAGCCCTTAGGGGCCTACACTCATCTCACCCTCCCCAGGACATTCTTACACTGCAACCCACATCTCCACCTACACCCCCTGACAAACTCTGTCCTATCCTCACCAACTCTTTCATCCTAACAGCCAAGCATTGTCTTATTTTGTTAAGACCCACCTACAGTCTACTCCTGAGGACTTAAGTTTCTTAAAATCTATCACTGCTTCTTGCAAAATCTGTCAGATGTCAGATCCCAACTCAAGGTATTGTAGCACCCCTTTTCCTACCCATCAGGCTAGAGGTTCCCTTCCTGGAACTGACTGGCAACTTGACTTTACCCACATGCCCACTGTCAAATGTGCCAAGTACCTCCTGGTCTTGGTGGACACCTTCTCAGGCTGGGTGGACGCTTTTCCCACAACTAACAAAAGGGCTCAGACAGTCTCCTTAGGGAGTTTATCCCCCAATTTGGTGTCTCAGCCTCCCTCAAGTCAGACAATGGTTCTGAATTCACTTCCCAGATTTCTCAAATTCTATCTAAGGCCCTAGACATCCCCTGTCATTTTCACATTCCCTACCACCCTCAATGAAGTGGACTCTGATGGTGAAAGCCAGCTACACCCCAAAATGGGCTACACCCTTACACAGCAGGAAGTAGTTTAAGAGACATGGTTCCCCTTTCACCATCGGCTTCCCTTCCCCTCCTTTCCCCCTTCTCTTTATAATACGAAAAAGGGAGGTATGTTGGTATCAGGCTCTGAACCCAGTGACATCACATCTAGGCAACCCCCACATCATTGCCAAGGCAACCACCATACATTTCCAGAATCCACCTGGCTACCTCCCACCCTTACCTGCAAGAGGCTACATCACCACCCATATAACTAGGCAGAACTCCCTGACCTTTCTCTCTTTTTCCTCTTCTTCTTCCCCCAACCCCCACCTACCTTTGCCCTATCTCCTGAATAAACCCCACTTGGGACCTTTTGGTCTGGTGTGGTCTGTTCCAAGCTGTGTGGGAAGGAGCATCACTTCCCAGCCTTGAGCAGGCTGAATAGACCTTGATCCCTTGCCACAATGGACCTTAACGACCTAGGTGGAGTCATTTGCCCTGGCAGCATGTGCAACTTCCTACAGGAACTTAGAAGAAAAGACTACCCACTGAGCTTGCTTTGCAATATAATCCAGCTGAAACAAAGTACGGTTCGGTGGGCTTCCCCTATATAAATGCAATGCTGAATATTAAACTTAGAGCCTTGATCAGAACCTTGTCTTGGCTTCATACTTCTCTCACCTCTCCCACCCCTATCTCTTTTTCTTTTCCAGATCCCCTTACAGGTAAACCCAGTTCATCCATGGCTGCTGGATGGCTACAAAATTGTATGACTTAGTACATATGAAAAAGACATGAATCTGACTGAAATATGGCAAGTGACTGGCTGTTTTGTGTTATTGGTGATATGTTCATTCTGAGAAAAAATAGAATAGTCACATTTACATCCTGTCATCTTCTCTAATGGTCTTTATTGAAAACTGAGATACAATTGTTTTTGTTTGTTTGTTTGTTTGTTTCATTGCTTAATGGTTTCTTCCAAATGGCAACTCACATTCTTTTCTGTACATATGACCATATAGCTGCCTGCATGCTGCCATGTTCCCTACCATGATAATAGACTAAACCTCTAAACTGTAAACCAACCCCAATTAAATGTTCTACTTTCTAAGAGTTCACACAGCAATAAAACTCTAAGGAAGACAAGCAAATAGGGCTGGAACAGATGATGTTACAAGCTCAGCTCAGGTTTCAGGTTTGGGAAACATTCTCATTTTGTTCTTTGGATATTTTCTGCTTAAGAGTTGTAAATTAGAGCCGGGTAGTGGTGGCACATGCCTTTAATTCCAGCACTTGGGAGGCAGAGGCAGGTGGATTTCTGAGTTTGACACCAGCTTGGTCTACAGAGTGAGTTCCAGGACAGCCAAGACTACACAGAGAAACCCCGTCTTGAAAAAAAAAAAAAAAAAAAAAGAAAGAAAGAAAGAAAAAAAAGAGAGTTGTAAATTAGAAAATTGAAACTGAAGAATGTGTGTGTGTGCACATTTATGTATAAGCCCAAGGAGGCCAAAAGAGGATGTTGGATTCCCTGGAGCTGGAATTAGGGCAATTGTGAGTCACCTGTTGTGGGTAATGAGAACTGAATTAGCAAGTGCTCTTAACCACTCCAGCCACAATAAAATAAATCTTAAAATAGAACAAAAATGTTCTTAGTCTACCAGTGAAGGGTCTTACAGATTTAAGACAGTCTGTTTTAATTCCCACTCCTTCGTCTCTATTAAAGAAAATGGGGCTGATGAGGGGACTTAGTGTAAAGGCTCTTGTAGCCAGGCTGATGACCTGAGTTTGATTCCCAGGACCCACCAGGTAGGAGGAGAAATCCAACTCTTGCAAGGTGTTCTCTGTCCTTCACATGTACTGTGGCATATGAGTCCATATGTGCATGTATGTGGACACACACACTAAAATGTAATTTTTATACAAATGAGACTAGATGTTGTAGGTAGCATGTGTCTATAATCCTGGGATTTTGGAAGTCAAGGAGGGGGATCAGTTCAAGGTCATCTGTCAAATTTCTGTAGCCTACTTTCTGCTATATGATGATAAATAATACGAAAGGGAACCAAGAGTTCTAGGCTTCTAACAAAATGAGTATCTGAGCACAGACAGCAGAGTGTCTCTCAGGTGGTGATATGCAGGTTTTCTGACACAGTTCAATGGTTGCAAGTTTATTGAACCTTCCAGAAAAATTTAAAGAGGTATATATATACATTTGAATTATTTCTCTCAATAGTTTGCAGCCACTATACTAGGCCAGCTTGCTCTACATTGTGAGTTCTAGGTCAGCCTGGACTACTTAGAGAGACACTGTCTCAAAAAAATCAAAGAAATAGAGAAACTTGTCTGGTGTGGTAGCACAGACCTGGAATCCCAGGACTAGAGGTGGGAACAGAGACTCAAGCTCATTTTCAGACAGGTAGTGAGTTGTCGTAGAAAATATTTAAACCCCAGCCTGGGGTTTCTATCCCACCTTTGGTTATTGAGTTTCTGGAAGAAAGACACACTTACAGCCTTGAAATATGTAATAAACCCTAAATAGCACAATAGCTGGGCAGCTGTCTACCCTCCATGCTGTTAGAATCTACTGTCCTATTGATAACCCCAAGTTATTACTATGCTCCGTCTGGACCACTCTAAGCTCCAATTGGCATGTCCACATGGTGCCAGGAGCCTCCCAGCCCAGAGAGGGTAGTGGTGGAGGTACAGAGTAGGACTTTGGTGACGGCTTTAAAGTCTGAGGGTCTCAGGGCTTTCTAGCTCTCTAACTGTACTTAAATGCTGATGATAACTTCTAAAAAGTCCTAAAAACTTTCTTTTTCTGAGGATAAGAGACTGGGGGATTACATGATTAATACCTGTAGCCCAACAGTGGAGGATTAAGCAGGGTTTCCTTTGTTCTATCTCAGCAGGAACTGCTGGGCTCTAACTTTCAACCTGCTAATTGGAAGAAGTCGCAGGAAGAAAACGAGACACTAGAGAAGTGATTATAGAGTTTATTACTAAGTTGTAAAAAGTTTCCTATGAAAGCTATCTAAGGGGAAAAGTGGAAGGATCCTAAGCAGTGAAGTTTTGTATAGATAAACCCAGGCAATATTTTATTTTCTGTTTCTAGCACCTATAATAAATTGTTAATTCCCTTTTTATGACCTTTGGTTAATTGTTTTAACAACCTCTTGGAATGTACTCTGAGTAGGAGAAAGCCTGGTTACTATCTAAGAGCAATTAACAGGACACTTAGGAGACTGGCAGAGTTCTCATTGCAGTTTTGACTATCAGAAAAGGACCTAATAGCAGTCCCACTATAACAGAGCTTAATAATCACTGATATAATTTTAGGAGTTCTTATGGGATCATCATTAAGACTTAAGAAGCCATCTATTTGTCTACATAGCATCACTACAAGACAGTAGATCTTCATGGATCTGCAGAGATCTGCTCCAAAGAGGTAGATATTACTTAAGTGATTGTTATATATGTTTAATAATATCAGGAAAAGCATATTAATAGCAGGAATCTTTCCTAAAATGAATCCCTTACAGTCTTGCTGAATAAGGACAAACCTGTCACAGATTATAATAATCCAAAGCAGGCCATCTCAGAATGATCAACTGCTAGTTATCAGCTTGTCCCATTATGGCTCCTGACAATATGGCCACATTTTTATGGCTCAGCTAACTCATGGTGGCTTCTCTTTCTCCCTCCTGCACATTCTTTTTCTTTTTCCTCCTCTCCAACTCCAAGTCCACAAAGCCTAAACCCCATCTATTTCTCGTCTGCCCAGCTATCAGCTGTCGGCATCTTTATTTACCAATTGCAATTAACTGGGTGCAAGGTCACTTAGCTAGCATCTACTTGCAGAGTCTCTCATCTCTGGGGCAACTACTTTTAGGGGCCCAAATGACCATCAGAATACAAATAGCCAAAGAGTCCTTTTTATTCCAGAAACTAGGCCATAAGCCTTTTTCTACCCATCTGAAGTATAAGGTACTTTGCTTCCACAGCTGATCTGCCTGTCTGAGTTGCTCTGAGGTGAGAAGTTGCAGTATCTGGTCTAGCACCTCTTAGTTAAACAGGGAAGGCTAGGTAAAGAAAGAAGCCTTTAGTTCTGTTGAAGTCTTGAGGAGCAAGGGGGAAGAAAGCCTGTCTCTGCTTTCAGCACTTTTAGGACTTTCAGCGTGTATGAACACATGGTAAAAAGTTCACTATGATTTTGCACATAAATTCAGGTCATAAATTGAATAACAGGTTTATAACAAAGAATGTCTACATGCACATTCACTAGGAGTAATTATCTGGCTAAACATTCATCATTTGTTACTAGCTTACAGGTTCATGGAAAGTTAAAGACCCTAACTAAGCTGTCCTTGAAGTTTTGTATAGATAAACCCAATCAATATTTTATCTCCTGTCTTTGCACCTGTGGTATTTATCTTAACTCCTTCTTTATGACCTTCAGTTAATGGTTTTTATACCCCCTTGGAATGTCCTGTAGGTTTTAAGAAGTCTGTTGTTATCTCAGAAGCAATTAAGCAGTTCTGTTATAAAAGGGGCCTGAATATCTTTGTCTGTGTCACCATTCTGAAATGATGATGACCCCAGCATGCTAGTTGTTTCTACAGAATAAACACTCTTTGTTTTTGCATATCATCTGAGTCTGGGGTCTTCTTTCAGCAATTTTTTGGGCCCTTATACAACCTTAGGCCAACCCACTACAGTGAGTGCTAGGCCAACCTGTGCTCTATGGTAGTCTCTCAAAGAGAAAAACCTGAGCTGGACATGCTCATGAAGCATGAAGTGCATGCTTTTAATTGCAGCACTTCAGAGCCAGAAGCAGGTAGATCTCTGTGAGTTCAAGGCCACCCTGGTCTACACAGTGAATTCCAGGACAGCTGGGGCTACAGAGAGACCATGTCTCAACAAAAGCAGAATTTTTATGTGTAAAAATAGTTTATATAATTGAGCTGGAGTGTAGCTAGGTGGTACAAAACTTGCCTAAGCATATGCATTCTATCCTAGCACAACCAAGAGAGGCAGGGAGTAAATTGCAAGAGGAAGGTTAAAGGAGGTAAGGCATCTTTGCACATGTGAATGTGCAAACAAACAAACCAAAAAACTCCTGGGCTCATTGGCAAAGCCTTGAGTTGGGCTCCCAGCACATAAGAGAATCCTCTCTGAGACAAACCATACAGATATGAACAGACCCAATTAATAGCTTATCATCTCTATTCTGTTTTCTCTACCTAGCCTAGCCATTTCTGTCCTATCAGAGCATCCTGCTCCCCCCTACCCTATAGGACCTATTGTCTTGCTTCCTTTTATGTGTGGATCAAACCTTTTGTTGTGTTGTCATTGCCAGGTTATTGCTGTTTACACTCTCCAGCTGGAGTGCAGTGGGGTAGGCTGAGTCCTGGAGCCTGCTCTATTTCAGTGTTAGCTCCAAAGGCTTTGTCTTTCCTTTTCCAGAGTTAAATAAGGGCCTTCTGCATCATAGAAAATAGTGAACTAGCCAGTTCTGGACTATATAGAAAGGTGTATCTTATGAGAAATATACCAGAAAAATGATTGGCCCCTGGCATGCATTGTGGCTGGTGCAGTCTGTGCTCCTAGAACTTTGGTGCTTGCAGTTCTGAGGCTTACTAGCAATTCAGTGTAATTGAGCCCTGTCCCTGATGTATCCCTAGACTGTTTGAATGTCATTTCCTTTAGTTGATGAATTCCCAAAGTCGACTAAAACCCCAAAGCTGAGAGTTGACTGACTTCTGGATTGTCTGTGCTTTTTCTTTCTGTTGACCCAGAGCTGTCAGGACTATCTATATGATGAATAGTGGAGAATAGTTCTGATTAAAGAATTAACTTTAAGGCTGGAAAGACAGTAATTCCAACCTTAAA